GCCAATTTGGATGCCTTTAATTTCCCTCTTTTGCCGCATAGCTCTTGCTAAGACTTCCAGCACAATATTGAACAGGAGTGGTGACTAAGAACATCCTTGTCGGTTCCTGTTCACAGAGGGAAGGCTTTCAATTTCTCTCTGTTGAGAATAATGTAGGCTGTTGGTTTTGTATATATGTTCTTAATTATGTAGAGGAATTTCCCTTCAATTCCTACTTTGTTGAGTGTTTTTATCAGTAATGGATGCTGGATTTTATCAAATGTCTGTTTTACATCAATCAGCATGATTATGTGGTGTTTTTTTTGTTTTTTTTTTTTATTTATATTGTGGATTACATTGATTGTTTTTCTAATGTTGAACCATATTTCCATCCCTGATATGAATCCACTTGGTCATGAGGGTTATGCTGGCTTCATAAAATGTACTAGGAAGTTTACCATCCTCTTCTGTATTCTGGAATAATTTAAGTAGAATTGGTGCCAGCTCTTCCCTTAATGTCTGGTAGCACTCATCTATGAAGACATCTGGGCCTGGACTTCTTTTGGTTGGGAGTTTTTTGATGACCTGATCAATTTCTTCTTTTATATGGGTCTGTTCAAGTATTTTACTTCACTCTGTGTACGTTTAGGTAGGTTGTGTTTTTCTAAAACTGTGTCCATCTTTTCTAGGTTTTCAAATTTATTGGAGTACAACTCTTCATACTATTCTGTTATTTTCCTTTTGATTTCATTTGGATCCCTTGCGACCGCTCCTGTATGGTTTCTAATGCATGTTATTTATGTCTTCTCCCTCTTTTCTTTTGTTAGCTTTGCCAATTGTTTGTCAATTTTATTAATCCTTTCAAAGAACCATCTTGTCCTGTTGATTCTTTCTATAATTTTTTGTTTTGTTTTCTGTTCTATTTATTTCTGCTCTAATGTTGATTATTTCTTTCTTTTGGTGACTCTAGGTTGCCTCTGTTGTTTTGATTCTAATTGTTTCAGATGCTGTGTTAATGTGTTAATTTTGGTTCTTTCTTCCTTTTGGATGCACACGTTCATCACAAAAAAAAATGTCCTCTCAGTACTGCTTTCATTGTGTCTCAAAGATTTTGGCATGTTTTGTTTTCA